AGAAGCTGAGCTCTGGAGGGGGGACCAAGAGAACCAAACAAACGAGTACACGTGCCAATGTCTTCATGTAGATCTACAGTTCAGTCCACCAGCAGGTTTCCCAAGCTCTGTTCCTCTCAACACAAGCGCTTTGTACCTGGGGTGACAGCTAAACCTGAGCAGAAAACAAGGACCTAAGCAAGCGTAAGCCCAATTCCAAGCCTGCTCTCCATCGTCTGGACAGAAATCAGTTTAGGAACAACACAGGGAACATCTGTTCTGACCCAACCAACCTTCTGATGCTGCTCAGCCTCACAGGGGAATAGCTGCACTCTCCCATGATGGCCCACTTATTTCACAGGGTGGAAACGTGCCTGTGTGTACTCTTCAAAGCAGTCTCTTCTTCTGAAGCCACCAAAGCATTCCTCTGCTTGTCCAGCATCTCACAGTACTGTCACATGCCACCACAGTCATTACAAAAATCTCACAAGAGAGACCTGCCCATGTATCTCAGCTCCCTGCCTCTGGATATTTCCCCCGAAGGTCAAACCAAGTATCTCTCTCTGTAAAACACCCGTTAATTTGTGAGACTTGCAGATTTGAGAATGTTATGTTTTTGCTAAAGCCAGTGACAAAACCACATGTGGGCTCACCATAGCTACAGAAAGACCCCCAACAGAAGACAAAGAGGGAAATCCTGGTCCCCAAGTGCCAGAAGAGCCAGAACATCACCTTGACTACGGTCAGTCCCAGATTTTTATCTTTCCTTGCAGGTCCAGGGCCAGCGGAGCAGCACAGGCTGTGCCAGACCTCCCAGAGAGGCTACATGGGCGAGAGCAGGGCTGGCTGGCACACACACTGTGCAGGGTGAAGTCAGCCTGACCCTGACGTTACATAGTCCTAGCAACATCCAACTGCCTCACCTCGGAATTGGATGTGTCTTATGAAAAAGACAGTAAGTTCCCAGGATAGTAGGTTTGTTTTCCTTAAGAAAAAAACCAAAAGCAATCCCCTTTGTTTTTCAAGTCTACTTATTTTGAGATCTACGTCCTCCTGTCCTGCCTGTTCCTTCCCTCCTCACTGGTTATCAGTCTTTCCTCCAGACATACAATACGTTTGGTCTATAAAGAGAGCATTCTTCGTGTACAGCTGCGCTGGAGTAACCCTTGGAGGCTCTGAAGCACAGCCAACATGCAGAAATATAAAACCCAAGAGGACCGAGTCTTGTTTCACCTAAGCCGGGTTTCTCTTACACGCAGCACTGTTCTCCGAGGGAGCTGGCCATTTCCACTCAGCCATACGAAGGCGGCATTTTTGACAAGATGTTTCTGGACTCAAACATAATCTGGACTCAAACATAATCTTGATTGTGTGGTGTTTGGTTTCTGGAGATGGTTTTTTTTTTTGGGGGGGTGGGGGGGGGTTGGGTGTTTTGGGTTTTTTTTTAAGTCTATTTTGTTGGAAAATAACCTGATGTTCTGTATTTCTGCAACATCCCCACAGCAGAAATTACAGATGCCTATTTTCTTAGTTAGGCCTAAAAGAGAAAAATTATGGATTAAAACACAACATGAACCAATTGATAAATCACTTATGTGCTGTTGGTAGGTACTCAGATATGATGATTACAAGTGCTGAATAAAACGCCTGAACAGAGCACAACAGAGTCATCTGAGTGGAGACTACACACCTCTGGCAGTAGGGTGAAAGCAAGAGCTGCACTGGACTCCCATAACCCACACCAATTTCATGCCAAATACATAGCCCTGTAATTTGAAATTCCCACAATGAGGAAGAAACATACAGTATTTCCAAAGCAAGATAGAGAGGCACCCTGGAAATTCCAGGGCAGCATACAAGGGGACTGTATCTGACAATGTTATTCCAAAACTTGAACTAATACGGAAGGCAGCATGCTTGGCTGGGGTTTGGGAAGCACATCACACCTTTGTTCTGCTGCCTTTCTTTGTGGCCAGCTGGCTTTGAGGTGGGATCAGAAGCATTAGTCCCACCTAAAAGAACCTAAATTTGATCAAACTGCCACAGTGGTAACCAGGGTTGGTGTAGCAGAGTGAATAAGATGTGAAACGTCTCTTCTTTTCCTGGACTCTGAGAAGAATTCCAGATTGTTTTAGCTGTGAGGCTTGGGCTAAAAAGACAGAGAAGCACTACACTAACTCACCCTAGTAGAGATTTACAATGTCTGCCCTGAAATGCGATACGCCATAGCACAGTTCCCTTCTCCCCTTTGGTTTATACCAATAATCTGTGCCCAAAACAAAACATGGAACAAATGAAGAACTGGGAAGAGAAAGGCCATTAAGCATGCATTAGAGCAGTGGATGCTAAGATCACCATCATTACTGTTGTTTCTTGAGTCACTGTGAACTAAGAAAGGAGTCTGGCAGCTGTTTCTAAATCTGTGTTCACCTGAGTGAACAGTAAGGCCTGTATTTGAAGCAGTATCTGTTTCTTGCTAATTACTGCAATACTACCTCTGCCAGCACCCACACCATACGTAACCTTAGAGTTTAGCAATCTGTACAAAGCTCTCTCTTCTTCTAAGCTAATTTAGTGCATGATATGCAAGTTTACTCTCACATAGGACAGTTGGTCTAGATTCACTGACAGAAAGGAACTGTGAATGCAAACTATGTGGCTAAAGCCTGCTGGAAGCATAAAGAATAACCAGAGAAGCTTGGAGCTAAACAGATAAAAAAAATGGGATATAGAAACACCTGATTTGCAACCTACGACAAGCCTTTATGAGGCTGCTTTAAGCTTAACACCCCACTGCCGGCTGCAGCCAGCATATATGTGAAGGAAAAGGAAACTTCTCTTCTTCCACGTGCCTCGCTCACTGTCCTTTACAGTGGAAAGGTATTTTTCCTCTTTTTTATGGTGATCAGCTTGTTCAGGGAATTTTAAGACTGAGTCTATCTTCCATCATCTTATGTAACTTTGTGCTAAGGGTTTTTAAAATGCCACAGCTGCAGCACTTGTGTTCTCCTCCGTGAGATGATCCATGCACATCATACACAACCACTCCCGCATTTATTTTCTCAAGTAGCCCCATTAATGCAGTGCAGAACAGACCCTCAGACATGATGTCAGTAGCTCTTCTATGTTCAGGCTTTGTGACATTTGTCTCTTGCCCCCTGCACTCCCACCTCTTAATCAGTGGCCTTTCAAGCCCCTGTGAGAAGCCCCAGCCTAATCCTAGTGATGCTACTGGCCACATCCAGCCTGCTGATGAGACCAGAAAGATTTTTGTCCATTGTTGTACTGTCAGGGTAATTTTTTTTAAAGAGCATCATTCAGATAAACAAAACATACTCTGCCTTCACTGCCTGGCTTTGATAGGACAATCCTTGAGCTCTCTCCATGTGCTGAGCCAAAGTGACTGGAGCACGCAAGACTGATTTTTGCAGTTTTCTACTCTCCACAGTCAGAAGAACATATTGCAACGGGTTCGTGGAACGAACTGACCTGGTTTTGTTTCTCTTCAGATCTGCACTGACCTCTTTAGATTAAACATGATGTTTCATCCCAAGTGACTCACTCCTGTAGCTAGCTAAATTCAAACTGCCTTCTTTAAAGCCTGCAATCTAAACAATACATTTTATTGTCACAGCTACATGGACATTAGTTAAAACAACTTTACATTCTGAAAACAGCTACACGGTGTTGCTGTTTCATGTGGTTTTGGCAAGACGACCACACAGTTTCTCTTTAAGCACTGCCACCTCTTGCTCCCAAACACGGCTGCTGCACTAACGATTAGCAGGTCAGGCCAGCATCGCTGCCGAAGAGTTTACAGAAAGCCATTCCTAGACACAGGCAGGGAAACAGATTCCTAATAAGGTAGCCAAAGCTGCCCGGTGCAATGGGACGATACCCAGACACCACATCAGGCCGAGCTCCCAGGGTACCTACAGAACCCCCTGTGCAACAGAGCTCAGGTCTGGGGAAGCTCTGTCTGCGTTTCAGTCTCCCTTTTACACTTGACCCCCTGAAGCCTTTAGATGCAAACGGTCACACTGTGGGCTTGTCCCCCCTGAACAACCCAAGCTACTGACACCCAGCGAGAGGACAAGCTGTTAAACCAACCCAGCATACAAGGACAAAGAGGAACTCAAGTTCTTCTCCCTAAATAGAAGGGCAAGAGGCAAGGAAGATCACCACCAGTTCCCACCCGTCCAGTACCTCTGCCCAGTTTGAGTCTCAGTGCCAAGCTTGCTCACAAGCCCAACAAGAAGAAAGTTATTCTCTCTCCAGCTCCTCTCTTACTGTATTTTGTACAATGCATTTAATGATCTGCAATAACTTTCTGTGCTTCCAACCCAGGATCTCAAAGCACCCAAAAACCTCTTTCCTTCATCTTCTGCACTGAGTTAAAGGAAAAACAGAGGGACAGAAAAATCACGTGCCTTCAAATCCAACCCTGTTCTCAAAAATGAAGACTCTGTCCACGGTAAACAAAGCAACTAGCTGTTGGGAGAACAGCACGTCATTCTGCAAGACTGCACTACTAAAACACCATCTATTGACACCTCCTTTGAATGGCCTTTAAATCAAGTATACGCAGCCAATCAAAATAGCTTGTCGGTGACACGCTGAGAATCTCTCCCTGTCCACAAACCCAAGCTCAATCAGTTTTCTCTGTATCACTCACAATTTCCTGTTACCTTGAAGAGTGAAACACTAAAAAATTACTAAAATTAAAAAATATTACACAACACAAGACAGTTCCCACTCTAATCAGTAAAAAAAGCTAGAGCAGAAGATAAGATTTCTGGCATGCTGAGGAGCAAAATTTAGATTGCATGCCACACATCAGTGGTTAGATATTCCCTCTGATTTTTCAGATATTCAGGCAAATGATCTTTACATGCACAGGTATGTTAGTACTTACTGACTCTTGGACTTGCCCATAATTGTGATAATGAAGTAAGATAAGTTACCATAGAAAGCCTTTGCAAAATGTGTAACTTCTATTTCTATCATTAAAGGGGACTTACCTTTAAGGACTCCCAGAGGGGAAATTGCACCAGAGAGAAAGGAATCTGAAGAGGTGAGAAAAGGAAAAAAAAAAACCACCATAATGTTACAAAAGCAAATTAGGTTGGTATGTGCCTCAACTGGCTAAATTAGGAACAGTTATTGTTCACTCAGTGACCTGCAGCTTATTACATTTACAAATCTTTACGGACACTTTACGCAGGCTGCCATTAAATGACTGGTTGCACTAAAGCAGTTTTACTTTGTATATCACATTCCCTGCTGAGAGGTTAATGCATTGTTACCAGGGTGGCCTAGAAGAGCAATAAGCAGTATGATCTAGTGCAGGGATGTTCTTGGTTTGACACTCGGCCAAGAAAGCCATAAGGATGGTTCAAGAAACATGTTCCCAAGGCCAGGAATAGAGGTTGGCAAAATAGAAGATCTTCAGCAATACACAGGCTCACAAATGCTGAGCTGAAAACAGCTGTGCTCCAACCAGGGCTTTGCAGTTGGGCATCAGCTGCAGAAACTTCCCTGAACATCTCCCGGTTATCTCACATTAACCAGCTCTCGTAAGAATTAAAAGCAGGTTGTGAAGAGCCACTACAACCCAACTAAAATCCAAGGGAGAAGCTTGGTGGTTCTCTTCTCGTCAGCTGTAACGAGAGGTTCTTCTGTCCAGCAACAGCCCATATCGCTACCGAGGCTCATTCCCGCTGCCATGTGTCCCAGCAGTGCCCGTGCATTTCCTGCTCCTTTACAGATTTTTGCCCTGACAAACGCCTCTTGACCAACCCTCTTAACACACGGGGGATAAAAACAAACCTACATCTCCGTCTGCTCTGTAGCCTGTGCAGGGCTAACACATGTATTAAGGCATTTCTTTCAGAGAATCACAGAACGGTTTGGGTTGGAAGGGACCTTAAAGACCACCTAGTCCCACCCCCTGCCATGGGCAGGGACGCCTTCCACTAGACCAGGTTGCTCCAAGCCTCATCCAGGCTGTTTGCATCATGAACAGGGCAGTTCTTTGCAACAAGACGCCACTTTCCAAAGTTATGCCTTCCCTTATAGTTTCTTGCTCCTCCAATCTCTCCACTAAGTTCTTCTGGCCCTTCCTCCTCCTCCATCACTATGAAAAGCTGCATCCCATACCTGCCTCTGGTATCAACCCTGCCTTTGGTATCTCCAGCCCAAGTATCTATTCCAAGACATCTTGGAGAAAGAAGCCCCTATGAAAATACGAGCCTGTGCTAGAATTGCCCTACAGCTGTACCTGGAAGCCTGCCCTGCCCCTTCCCAAATGCTTCTGCAGTTATCTCGTCCACTTTGGCAGCTGGTCAGCCTCAGATTCAAATCTTTTTCCAAGTATCTATTTTCTCCTACTCTTACCTTCTTTCCACAAAGACGATGCATGTCAGGTTAGTTTTCCCCCCCTTATTTAGTCTAATTTTGCAGTTCATGCATCATTTCATTAGTATCAGAAAACACTTACGCACCTCTTGCCATGAAGTAGGCACTCAAGATGTGTCACACTTAACCAGTATAAATCTTTGCTCTTTGTAACATAATCTCAGATTCAAAACATTTATTACAGAGATACAAACGTCTTACGAAACCCAAATGCAAGCGACACAAAGGAATCTGAAATAGTACATCCATTCAACATCACAAGAGTTAAAGAGTATTGTCTGCTTCCCTGTGTGGCAACTAATGATTAATAAATGAGTCTATTAAGTTAATCTGCCAGGCAAAACTAAGCTTGACAGACACCTGCCACAGAAAATTTGTTATCTATTCAGGCAGGAAATGGCAGTGAGAAGAAATCAATGTCACTGCTGTACATTGAGCTGACAAACTGAAATCTCAGAGGAAGTTTGTCATCTTGAACAATGAGCAATATCCCTGGTGGCATCTCAGAGCCCCACAAGAAAGGTCAGACATGGCTCTTATTTATCAGGGCCTTGAAACTCTAGTGTAGCAATTAAATTTTGGTTTTAATACTGGGTGAAAAAGCCCAGCTATTTGACAGTAATGTGTGGTAATATATTTACGAGAAGATATATATATCTCTACATGCTGCTGCATCATTGTTGAATTGGAGCTAAATGGCATGATTTCTTTGCAATGTAAAATGAAATGCAACACAATCTTCTATTATCTGGGCCAAAAACCAGAAGAAAAAAAAATCCCTAATATCCATTACATTTCCTTCAAATTTGTTAGAAGAGAGAAAAGGAAACGCTCTGTATCCAGCTGTACACCAAACAAAACAAGCTTTCAAATACAGTCTCCAAGTTTTGATTTTTTATGCTCGCGAATGAGCAGTAAAATTATGCAGCTGTTAATAAGACAACAAGGGAAGCTTTTGACATAAACCCCTTTTTATCTTCTAGCTAGAAGCATTAAAATCAAGGAGGAAATTTGTTCACGACTGCTGTACGACTGTCAGCGTTAGTGGTGTTGGATGTCTGTGTCCGGCTCAGTGGGTACCAGAACTGGATGGGTGTCATGCGTTTCCCTTTTCCCCGTGAACCCCACGAGATGCTGCGATGTGCAGGCTTCACAAGTGCCTGGGAAGGCTTTGGATGTTTGTCAGTGGGATCTGCACAGCTGCTGAGCTCCCTCCTAAGACACCTGCAAAAGAAGGGCCTAAATATTCCTAAATCAGACCTGAATAGAATTGAAAAACTTGCAAAAACCAACCAAACTAGGAAGCACCACCCAGAAATCCAAGAGCAGGACCTTCGCCTGCACGAAGAAGATCCTAACAAGAGATGTCCTCCATTGGAGCCTGTCTGACAACATCCTGATTTAAAAACAAAACCCACACAGGCAATTTCATGGGTAGTGGAATGAAAGGGAGTCTGGCTTCCTGCGGATTTGGGTTTTGTCATCAGATTCTCCGAGACCAAATAATTTCCAAGTCGGGTTGGGTGATCTTCCCACGACAGGGACCTCCATCACGTTTCCGCTCGACATCTCTTTCACAGCGCCCGTTCAAAGTTCAGTTCCTACTGCAAGCCTTCCCTCAAACCCCTTCATCGCCCTGATTCTCCCCTCACACGTGTATTTTCAAGAAACTTGTAAGAACTTCTATTCATCTTTGCAGCCTCTGCCCTTCCACCAGATTTCATGGCCAACACGTCCAAGGCTGCTGTGCGTTCCACCCTGTTTGCATAAGCCTTGTTTCCCTAAGAGACCAGACTAAACAGCCCACGCCCAAAAGCAGGATTAATATATGCAAAAAGAAATAGCTCTGCAAGGGTAACTCATTCAACGATGGAAAAGCCTTTAGATGGCTTATTGCCCTTTAGTCCTCTACCACGACAGACATGACAAAACCTCAGTGTGGGGACCCTTCTTAATTTGAAGATTTACAGTGTCTCATTCCTTTTCATATTTTGCTTTTTAAAAGAAAAGCTTTTCGGCCACGAACAGAATCGCACCCTGCCAGGCAGCGATATCTATGCCTGAAACAGGCTAAGGCAACAATAAAAATGTGGTCCACACATGTGGGTAACTTTCTGCCAGCAAATATGAAACCCTGGCGAGCTCCACCAACCTCTCATTTGACATTAATATAAAATAGACAGAGAGTACCAGTTCCCATGTCTGGCCTAATGTTATATAACTGTGCTGTTTGTTCAGAGTCAACTCTTACACCGGGGTTGGGGGGGGAAGTTTAAAGCCCCCAGACAGCTGTAAATCATTATCCTAAAATGTTTTATAGGTTGGTGAAATTATCATTTACCCTGGTCCCTGTAGTCCTTCGCACCTGATGCCTAACAATGTAATGAACAAGCAGGTTCTTATTTCTACAGATCTAGTTAATTCTTCTGATACAGAAGGATTTTAAAAGATTATTTTTAGTAAGTCACTTCCAGAAATAGTTGCACTTCACAGCAAGAGCAAGATATGCACAAGCTCCTCTTCTAAAAAAAAAAAAACAACCAGCAAGTACTGAAGATTGATGACATCGCCAAAGTCCTCCCACCAAATATTGTTTAATTATAAATAACAGAAATTTAAGGAGGAACTTAATAATACTCTTTGTAACTGCAACACTTGAAAGTAATTCAAAATTCACCCGTTCAGTGTCTGATGCTCAACTGCAAGCTGCCATGGTCCCGAAGGAGCAGCCAGGGAGCAAGGAGAGAGCGTGCTGAAGGACTGGCAAATGGGGCGGCGGAAGAACCAAAAGAAAAAAAACCCACTCATCAGTCCCTTCAGAACTGGGATTCCCTTCCAAATATGAGAATTCTTTCACACAAAGAGGAAACAGATGTCCACGGCTGGAATTTGCATGTGGCTTTATTCTTTTCTAGGATACAATAAAACTACTCTTCTTCTTATCCTCCGAGCTAGAAATTAAACAGTGGCATGTCATGCCGAGTCCAGCTGTGCTTTCTACCTCCAACCTTTATTAGCAATATATTTAAAAAGAAGAAGAAATGAGAGAGACAGAAAGAAAGAGAGAAACTAGAAAAGCACAAGAAATGAAAAAGTATGTGGCATGTGTTCTCAAAACAATATAAAACCTACAGATGTTCTTACTAATCTGTGGCACATGTTTGTTTATTCAGGTTTTCTCTGTCTCCAGCTCAGCGGCTTTGCTCTCCAGAAGAGCTAGCTGTTTTTACAAACGTTAGAGTAAATACTGAAGGAGAGATTGGCACAAACAGCCAGAGGAGGAAAGAGGCTCACCTTTAAGAGCTTCCTCGGTGTCCCTGCAATGGTACCTCTGTCCCAGAAACTGCTCACACGCATGACATATCCCCACTGTCCCCAACGTTAACAGCAATGAGAGAAAAAGCAAGTTACGAAGAGGATTTTGACAGCAAACAGCAGGAACATCTGCTCCCTTCAGGAAGGATGTACTGCAGGCATCATGGAGTAGTTCTCAAACTGGCACCTAGCCTGGCACTCGCATGTGCTTTGACGAGGCTCACAGAGACACTCACACTGTATTTACCAGAGCTGCAGGTGCCAAACCGTGCCTTCTCCATTGTACTTACAACAAAAAGTCTAATAACACACCTCTGAGTATCAAAGAAATACA